ATGTGGAGAATAGACTCAAATAATGTAAACCATTATGTCTTGCTTTATTTTAGTGGAGAGATGTCAGATTAGTAAGGAGTTGAAGAGTCATTTGAAGAGAGAGAAAAACCAAGTGAGAGAGAAAAGAAGAGAAAAAGTCTTTCCTGCATAACACAAAGTCTACACTGGTGTTTTCGTCATTGTGATATCGTTCATCGTTAGATCAGACTGATTTTTGGATCGTGGGTTCCAGACGTTTGGTTCTTCATTTTGACTGTTCGGATCGTCAATTGGATATCTAATTTAGGAGAAAACAACAACGTATTAGCAACTCTATTTTGGAGAATTTTCATCTTCTTTGTTTTTATTTGTAAACACTTATGCTTAGTTAGTTTGACTGATTGAAAACATCATTTGATAAAATCCTTTTGTACCATATTATTAATCATAATAAATTTTTCTTTGGTCTAGACGACTTGTAATTTTTATCCTTGTATTGAGGAATTTTTCACGTTAATTTTTTAATGTCTTTTTGTGCTTTAGATTTTGTTTTTGCTCGATTTATCTATTTCTCTTCACATATTGTCATAAGAAGAGAAATTAAATTTTACTGCACTATTATTTTTTTTATGTTGTTATAACTTTGGACCCATTTTTCCACAAATTTATTTACATAAAAATTATAATAATATAAAAGAAATCAAAATAATGCATTAAAGCATTACTACATAAAATTATATTTGACATGCTTATTTACACGGATGATCTTGCCGCATGGATAATTTTTCTAAAATCTATCTATTTTTTATAATCCTATGAAAAATATTACGCTTCTTTAGTAAAGTTATTAAATACACAGTTTAATTTGTAGGTGATTGGCCTTCACTTAACTTTACTGTTAAAAAGATAAAAAGAAATTGAATGAACACTAATTAACAATACTTAGATTAAAGTTGTGTTTCTTATTAATGTGGCTAGTGACCCTTCGTTTCAATGTAACTCAAATATTGTTTACATATATTTCATATTAGAGAACACGTATGTGCATGATATAATAATAGTAATGAACGATTTTATCAGTGATAAGTCTAATAAATATGTATGTAAACTTGTTTTTATTTGGTTAATGGCGGCCAAAGGTAAAGAAAAAAAAAATATGAAATAGAAATTATATACAAAAAAAGAAAAAAAATTATACACATAATATTTCATACAACAATTTATACACATATATATTTTTTATAAAAGAATGTATCTTTCCTGTGTTGGTAATCACTTCAAAATTTAAGGGTTTTCATGGAAGAAAACCAGAAACATATGGTGTTGGAAGGATTTGAAAAATGGAGTGGGTCCTTATTCCTTGAATGGTAGAATAGAATAGACGAGAGAATTAGTAGAAAGTTGGAATATATATTTATGATAAATAAATAAATAAATAAATAAATAATAGGTGTTGTTGTTCATTGATGTGTATGGAAAGAATAGTAACATGATATGCACTAAAAGCATAGGGTGATGTCCCACTTGCAGAAACCCACTCAAACCCTTTCTCATTGGTCTCTCTGCTCATCATGGGGCCATCGCGTGGGTCGGTGTGTCCCATACTCCATCCCTTTCTACATATATTTTACTACTATTATTATTATTATCTTTATTAAATGCAGATGAGAAATGTTATATGCTCTATGTATCTATAAAAAAGTGTAACTGAAATTCTGTAAAAAATAAAATCTAACTTAATCAGTTTAATTATGAGTGAATTGTTAAAATTTTTTAGAATCTGCAAACAATTCCATGGATTACATTAATAGCTTAGAATAACCCCGTTATTGTGTAGGCGAAGCTTGTAACTAAGCATTGTAGTTTCGTTGATTTTACAGAACTAAACATCATAGTTGTAAACTAAAAACATGCGGATATTTTATACTAAAAAAAAATGCAATTTTGTCTATGCGCGTCAGTGGTGTGCCATATGTGCCATATATACTCTTCCACATACACACTATTCGGCGACCATGTTCCCTACACGGATCCATACACTCCCACGGGCTCCCGAAACACATTTGTCATTCTTACAAGCAGTCACCAACATCACTTTCCTTTCTACAACACATCAAAGTTCACAGCTTTTTTGTTCTTTCTAAATCACCACCTCGATTCACGAACTGGGTCATCCTTTGATTGTGGATTGAAATTCATTTGGAGCCACACCCCTAAATTTCTCTTACTTTGACTTTCCACCCAAGACAGGTAAAATATAAAAGCTCATCATCTTCTGTATCTGCGTCCGTCTTTCTTTATTTATTTATGCACTTTCCATCCCTCTCTCTCTCTGAATTGTAGTTTGTTTTTTAGTGCTGTTGTGTGATTTGAAGGATAATTTTTAAAGGGGTGGTTTTAGAATTCTGTGACTGACGTGTCCTGGGTCACCGTGCCCTCCCTCGGATTCCGCTGGTAGTGTTTGTGTGCAGGAAAACAGTAAAGTTGGTTGCTTTATTGGAATACGATGAAACTTGGCGCTGCCCCTTATTCCTCTTGTTAGTTTTTAAGCTTGGCCTATTCTGGGTATGTGAGTACTTCACCGGAAAGTTTCAATTTTGGGGGCTTCCGCTTCTGGTTTAGTTAATTCCCAGTTGCCTTTTGAGTGAACTCAAGTTGTCAAGCCCAGGCTTCCTACTTCTCTCTCACGTTTTGGGGTAGAGTGTTGCCTTTATTTTGTTCTTTTATTCCTTCCTATGTTGGTTTACGTGCAGTGAAGTTTGTTTCTATTTTTGGATCTGCTTCTGCCTAGGCTTTCGGGGTTGTTTGTCCGTGTTTGTGTTTTGCTGAGCTAGTTTCTGGATTAGAGAGTTGTGTTCTTCTGCTGGTACTAGGTTGTTTAGCACAAGTTTCTTGCTGGGGGATTTAACTTCTAAGTGTCATTTGTGTTTTCTTTCTTGGTTTGCTTGGACTTGGGGTGAATTGACTTTCTTGTAGCTTTGTTGTCTGCCAGGGTCCTGGTTACTTTGATATATCATCATGGATTCCCCACAATCTGTTGTATCACCCTTCAGAAGCTCAGTTTTGGGTGAGGGTGAGAAGCACAAGTCTGAAGTTTTCTCGGGAAACTCTAGTCCCTTGTCCAAGGACATTGAAGTGAATGGGAAGGAAGTTATCATGTCAAATGTAGAGGAATGTCTTGGAGTTCTTGATGTTTACATACATCAGGCCAGGGACATTCAGAACATTTGCATATACCACAAGCAAGATGTTTACGCTAGGATATGCCTGACCAGTAATCCGGAGAACACTGTGTCTACCAAAACCATCAATGGAGGAGGAAGGAACCCTGTGTTTAATGAGAATCTTCAAGTCAAGATTAAAACTGTTGATGCTTCTCTCAAGTGTGAGATATGGATGCTTAGCAGGGTGAAGAATTATCTCGAAGACCAGCTGCTTGGTTTTGCCTTGGTGCCTTTGTCTGAAGTTCTAGTCCAGAATGGGAAACTGGAGAAAGAGTTCTCTCTTTCTTCAACTGATCTATTCCATTCTCCTTCAGGTTTTGTTCAGTTGACACTGTCTTACAATGGTGCTTCACCTGATGTTATGGCAATTTCTGCAATGCCAAGCAAGGTGGCCACAGATGCCCCTGTGAAGGATTCGGAAACATCCGAATCACTGGCCCGGGAATTAGACAAAATTGAGTTCCCGGATCCGAAGATTGTGAATGAAGACCGCTTGATGGTTTCAGAATACTTTGGCATTCCATGTGAGGAGACTAGGTGCTCTGATAGCCTGGCTACTTCTGATGCCGAAAATCGCAGTTGCGAAGCGGGTGTTCGCCTTGTGGAAAGTTTCTCAGCATGCAGTGGTGAATCTTTTCAGCCACCTAAGGTTGATTCCCCACCCAGCAGTGTGTCAACAAATGGGGTTTCTTCCCCTTCTGTGCCTGCAAGCTCAGAATCATCTGATGCTGCTGCTTCGAAGTCTCCTATTCAGGAGCAGGCTTCAGGCACCAAAGAGGGAAAAAATGTGGATGTGAAAGATGGTGACAGTGATTCCTCAAGTGGGGTTCCTAGTGACTCATTCCCTAAGCCTGTTGTGACTGTGAACATTGAGCCTGAGCCTGAGCCTAAGGTGGTGCAGCAGGATATAGTGGACATGTACATGAAAAGCATGCAGCAATTTACTGAGTCACTTGCAAAAATGAAGCTCCCTATGGACTTCGAAAGTGAACCAACTAGTTCAGGAAATTCAACCACTGAGCAAAAGCTACAGCCATCAAAGAGCAACAATTCCCGTGTGTTTTATGGTAGCAGAGCTTTCTTCTGATCTTTTGCTTTCCTTGTTCAAGGGAATTCGCCCAGTCACTGTAGATTTTAGAAGAAAACTGATGTTAGTAGTGAAGTGAAATAATGTACTATTCTGTGTGGTTTCCCCTTCTGTATTTCGTCACATGTTGGTTGTAGGTTACAGGGAATATAACTTTGTACTCTCACAAGCTTGTTGCTATCTTAACTGCTACATGAACTTTTATGTTACCTTCTTCCTTTGTCATCGTTCTTTTGTTTTGAATGTCAATAATTGTGAAATCGGATTTCATCTCACCACACATTAATCATGTGTATAATCAGTAAGCAATAGTAATAATGTGGTCCCACTGTCACATGGTGAAAAAGCAAAGTGTAGATGAAGCAAAATCTACAAGACTTTCCTCTCTTCCATTTCGCATGAAAAAGCTCATATATGCAGCATCTTGGATCTTTATCTTTTTTACCCGTATTTCCCTGTCCTAGTTCAAAAACTTCTGTTGAACAGTCATGTTTATTCATTCAAGCACTCTATTGTGTACAAGTATTTTAAATTGTCTAAAAAAATTGCTTCTTTGTTCGTTCCTACAAACTCTAATAGTTATTTTTATTTACGATTACAATGCATAAAAATCTTCAGTGAAAACTACACTCTTGCAATGGTGGTAATTCGAACTTTGCGTTGAGAAAATGTAGTTGGAAGAAAAAAAAAATCTACTAAAGATGGCCAGATAGGTTCATACTCAGTATGAATAACATGTTACTTACGAAACATATTAAAATTTACATGTTCGACACATGTGCCCTTTAAATGTATTGTAGAACATCATTACATTACATGCCATATTTATAATGGAAATATAAACACACAAAAACAATGAAGAGAAGAAACTTGGAAACTAAGGTTCTTATTTCCTAGTGTTGTTACATAAGGATTTCAACTGTTTCAAATTGGTACTTCAATTATCTCTGCAGATCTTGCATATATGTGCCTCCTGCATATCCATGCAATTTGACCGTTGTCCCTGTACCTGACTCGCCACAGTCCAAACTTTTCTGCAATATCCTTCCCTGAGGAACACTTTCTCTCCCTTAAGAAATCAACCACCCATTGCTGTGCTGCTCTTAAGTCTTGTTGAATGTCCCTTGAACCTTCCATGGACCTGTTTCTACGACCCATAGCGGCAGCACCTAAAACGCCTGCTGCACTTGCCCCAGCTGCACCACAGAGAACTGAAGAGCCAGCCAAGTGAGCCACCTCCTTACTCAAGTCAGGTATCATTTGCCCCATTCCAGCTGCAAGATGAGCTCCTATTTTAAGAGCTAAAGTTACCAATGTCATGAACTTCTTCATGTATGGAGCCAAAGACTTCACAGCAGCATTATCAACTTGCATGATTTCACACCCCATCTGATCTTCAACAACATGCATTTGTCCCCGGAACTCGCATAACATGTGAAGCCGGAGAGCATTCATGCCAGAAAGCATGGTGGTGACCAGTCTTCTTGTGTAGTTTTCTGTCCTTACAAAATATATCATGTTGGGGACTTTCCTCTCCTCAACCTGCACATTAAAGGTTGCAAGGTGGTTCACTTTGCGGTGAAGTTCAAGGAGAAGTCTATGTTCATAATATCTAAGCCCCTGGATTTCCTGTTTCAAGTCTCTGATTTCTTGCTCAATAATCTTGAGTCTATGCAAAACTTCTTCAACCCCTTTTGCAATGCCACCAAAAGTTGGTTCAACCCTTGCAGCTTCATCTCTTAAGGTTATAGATTGACCTTGCCCTTCAGGGTTATTTTCAGGTGGAACTTGCAGCTCTTGTGCAAGATTGTAAAGGTCATTATACCTTCTATGAAGAACTTCCCGGAAGTCATCATCAGATAAAAGGTCTCGTGCAAAATCAAATCCGTCTTGGAGGATAGGCTTACCAGAGTCTAGGACTGGACTCCATGTGTGTTGATAATCATACATGCTTTCTGCTGGAAGTGAAAGTAGTGCTTGTTTCAGCTGCTGCAGAGGAGCAAATTGAGTTTTTCTGTATCTAGGAGGTGTCAGTTTTCTCACACATTCAGGTCTTAAGACATTCTCAGTCAAGGTGATCCCTTGGCAAACACTTTGGATTGCGGGGATCACAATTTGATGAATGACTCTTAAAGTTTCTGTCAGGTTTTTGGTGGAGCATGCAAGGACATCAATATAGTAACCCAACTCTCCTCCAAGTTCTACTCTTATGTAGATTCCGTTAATGCTGATTGAAATAAGGTACTTCTCAAGACTGTAAGTTGCACCATGCTGATCCTTAACAGCCTTTATTCTGTTGTGAAGGTGCACCTGCAACACCAAAGCAGAGAAATAAAATAAAATCCAAAATCCTAGATATTGTAGCTTTAGAGATTTAGGAGTGAAGATTAAAAAAAATAAGCAGTTTGAAGTCACAGTAAATAGTTTGCATATAACTACGTTTTTCCAAACTACTTTTTATACGCTTTTGCATTCTATGAACCCATTCGAGTGAGATCATCCACCATCAGAAAGTAATCAACACTATATATATTAAGTGAATGAAATAGTTTCAGGAAAACGAAGTTGCAAGAAACAATTGGAAACAGTTTAACTTAGGAAAAGAGGTGTGGTAGAGCAATTCTTGCCTGCAAACGAGGGAAGAAACCTGGAGTTAGAAACATGTGGCTTGAATCATCACACTCAAGATGACGTCCTGTGTAAATGCAGTCTGGCATGCTTAGCTGCCACCTCTGAGGCTTTCCTCTGCCTTCTTCAAGAATGGAAGGAATCAATAGCAGGGAATTTGGATCTGATGGATCTTCCTCGTAACAAAGTTCAAGTTTTAGCATCATCCTTACAAGGTCACTAGCGTCTAAATTCTCAAAAACCTTTGAACCCATACCAGGAATAGGGCTCTGCAAACTTCCTCTTAAGATTTTTTCTAATTCCTTCCTGCTAATAAATCCATTGTTTTCAGAGTGTTGCTTCTTAACATTCAACTTTATGAGCTGACCAAGGACTTCGCCACAGAACCACTCAAAATCTAAGATTAGAAAATCCAACTCATCAAAATAAATCACCTCACCAATGTGATGAAGACAGGTAGCAATAGCTCTTCTCTTCATCTCTACCTTCTCTTTGTTGTCATGTCTTGATCGAATTCTCAAAAGTGGAACTTTCACTTGGCATAGCTCACCAAATTCCTTCCACTTCATGGCTGGCTTGTTGTAGTTCTCAGATCTCCAGTCTGATAAAATCTGTATCAGATCATTGCAAAGTTGATAGACCCGTGGCACTCTTTGAAGAATTGTCTTGCTCGTCTTTCGGATATGATGAGTGAGTTTACTAACTGATGCTGATGATCTTGCATCAACTGTGAATACAGTTGGGTAAAAATCAACAAAGCCTTGAAACTTGTCTCTAAGTCTCTGAATTGACTCTACTGCGAGCTGAAAATTTTGTGATGGTTGATTGATTTTGTCAGAGTGTGTGAGAACAACAGCAACACTTGGAAGCATGCATTGTTGTATTGCTCTTTTAGAATTGGAAACTATGAACCTGAGCCAATACTGCAGGTCCTCTTCAATTTCTGTTGAGCTTTTTGGTTCTTTGTTACTTGGTTTCCTGAATAAACTTGATATGATGAGGAAAAATGATGCACTCCCATGCCCTGGGAACATAAGATCATGGAGAGATAAAAACTCGTGATGACCAGCAAGGTTCCATATTGAAATCCTTGTATCCTCATCCTTGAAAGTTTTTATCTTCATTCCTACTGATTTGACTGCCTGCTCCACTGGGTTCACTATTGTTCTGACTTGATCCAAGTAGGGAAGCGCCGAAGCAGAGAAATTTTGTGATATTGAATGACAAAGTGAGGTTTTGCCTGAAAAGTATGAATTTAAACTATCAACAATGCTTCAAGTTGACTCGTTATTAGCTTATGTTGATATGAAAAGAATGCATCTTAAATTGGTTGCATGGACTTATCTTTCTTAGATAGTTTTGAGATGGTGTGCCATGAAATTAGTCAATAGTTTTAACATCCATATATATGAAATGATTTTCACTTTTAATAACTTAAACTTTTAGTATTTAAAATTATACAGTTTTACTTTGCACTATAACTATTTAAAGATGAAAAGTTATACTAAACCTTACCTGCACATTCTTGGCCACAAAAGAAAACTCTGCAACTCTTGGGTTCTGTTAAAGGCATATCCTTGACAGAATCCATATCTGGTTCAGTCTTTTCATTCTGGCCTAACCTCTGATAAATTCGCTGAGTATTTCCAGAGTTTTGTAAAGGTGTTCTGGAGAGATCAATATCTTCAATCCAAGGATTTATCTGCAGTGTCTCCACAATTGTCTGCAGCAGTATCTCTCCCTCCACACGTTTGCATCCTTGAAGAGACAAGCATTTCAAGCTAGCATTCTTCTCCAAACTCTTGAAGATTTTAACAAAGTCATCTGATCTCAAACTCTCATCATCGTGAATTCCCAACTTCCGCACTGTTTCATTTGTTGTAAGAAACTGTATAACGGCAGCTAGCCCATCCCTTCCTATTCTTGTTCTTTCTCCTCCAAAAGTAATACATGTCAAAGTAATGTTGGCTTGCCTTTGAAGTGCTGAAAATCTACTCAAAGGGCATAATAGATGTTCCACGCCCATGCCACTGAACCAATTTCCACTCAGGTGTAAGGTTTGCAGAGTTTTGTTCTTGAAGAGGCCTGCTGCAATATACACAATGCCCTTGTCTTTAAGGTATGTTCTAGACAAATTTACCTCTTTGAGGGTCTGGTTTTGTTCCAAAACCAACCTAAATTCCTTGGCACACCGGGATTTTAGCCTTACTCCTGTCATGTCAAGGGACTTCACAGTGAAGTTCATGCCTAAAGAACAGGTAACTCTACAAGTCCCTGAGAGGTTAAGCTTGTAAATTCTAAGTGTGCCGTTCTCAGGTTCAAACTCAACTATCTTGGAACTCTTTTCTCTATTCTCCCCACTCCAAACATGAACTTCCATTCTTCTGTTCCTTGCCAAAACTGCAGATATAAGAGGTGTAGCTGTGATGGCATTTGAGTCAAAAATTGTCAACAGTTTAAGAGTTGAGTTAACTTCAATCATCTTCGAAAGCTCCTCAGCACCTCTTGATCCTATTGAGTCTTCCCATATCTGAAGCTCCTCCAAACTGTCATTCACCATAAGAGCAGAAGCAATCAGTCCAGCTCCAACAGACCCTATGCCTGATTCTGAAAGCATGATCTCTTTGATCACTTTATTTGCCTTCAGAATGTCAGAAAGGTCTGATAGGCTTTTTCCATTGAATCTGTTTCTTCTAAAATCCAAATGCTGTACATTTTGGTTATTCCCCAGCAAGGTGCCAAGATGTCTTACCTGTTGTGAGTCCCATTCAACTCTGTAGAACTCCAAGTTTCTCAAGGAGGAGTTGTGTCTCCCAGGTGCTGCAAGAGTAGTCAAGAGAGGGGAAAAGAATGGAAGGTTTTCCTTGGAAATGTTTATGCTTATGGAGTTGTCTGTTTCTTGATAACAACCTGAAGTTGGTTGAGAGAGGTAGAAGGAAATACTGTGCAGATTTAGGCCCTCTGATTTGATGGCTTGCTGAGCCCATTGTAGTTCTCTCAGGATCTGGTTTGTTGCCATCACTTCACAAACTCTTCAAAGTTGAACGAACCTGTGCCCTTACCAGAACATCTACAGTAATCTCAAATGCTTCTTTGGAAGACAATGTACATACATTTAACAATGAAGTTCTCCGAAGGAAAAATATACAAGAGCACAATGTTATAACACATTCTTTAGATCAAATACGATTTCAATAAATTTTAAACAATAAATAGTATGTCAGAGGAAAAAGTATTAGACAGTTTTGGACTATGATATGACCAATTTTTATATGGAAAATATTCAAGTTTTTTTTTTTTTGCTTCCTTTAGAAAATAATATGTAAGACTCTTTGTGCAAGAATGCTTGTATAAAACTGATTCTTAACTTGTCTTGAGGGCATTCCTTTAGCTAAAAATGTTCCCACTGGAATTAATTCTTCACGTAAGCTATTGCCTTTGCACCTTGGTGCATCACATCCCACTCAAGATTTCAACATTGCCAATGTGAAAAGCCTCTTTATGCATGTTTGTACAAAACCTGGTCATGTTAGCAAAGAAGTCACACCCTTGACATAATTTTTCATCCCAACATGAAGAAATGAGAACTTAACCTAAAAGACGAGAACTTTACCTAAAAGTTTTCTGTTGTTGAATTCTACCATGACTCTCTGCCTTGAGTGATGTAGGCCCACTTCATGATTTGTGGGGTATCTGCTTTTTGACCTTTTAGACAAAGTGAAAAATTTGATCTTTCTTTTTCTTCTTTTCTTGCGCATTCCCATTAGAATAAACATAGAATCCTATGAGGTTAGAGGGCAAGTTAAGCTCTTTTCAAGGGTCCTAACGGTGAAGAAATCCTGTGTTTATCTTTTTTACATCAAACTTGCTTTTGGATTATCCATGGGTGCTTTCATAAATGTAAACTAATCACTAATTCAAAGTTGGCAATCATGCAGTTAGAAAAAACAAACATACAAAAAAATGAACTATTTATCAACGGATATTGTGGAGCAATGTGCTTTGTGCGTGAGAAATTGTTTTTGTTGTTGTGGACCCCAAGAACGAATTCTTTATGTTACAGAAGTAAAGTTTTTATCAGAAATTTTGTGACTTTTGTCCTAAATACAAAAAATTAAATTAATAAAACATTTAAGTTGATGACAGTGAGAGTAGTGAGAATGAGTAGCATGAAGTCTTAGAAAAGGAGTGCACTGGTGGATCCTTATTCATTACCGTTGGATATATTTATATTTTATTTAAACGGCTGAGATGTTGAATGGAAACAAGTTGTTTCATTATACTAAAATTGCAATTTAATATATTCACGGTGAAAGCGATGCGGTGGACATTCATTGATTGAAGTGTTGTTTTCTCAAATCTAGTGTTTTTTTTATGGATTTTGCCACTAATAAAATTAGATACGAGACACTAACTTTTTTTACATTAATAATTTTTAGTTCATAAATTAATATTTAAATTAATTGCTATATTCTTTATTTTTTGTCTTTATAATAATTTTTGTTTAATAATAATAATTTTCTTATAGTGACATTTTTGTTTGTCATGATATTTTTTTAAAAGAAGACTCAATTTAATAAAAATTTTGTTTTAGAATACTTGAAAACCTTGAATATATTTTTAATTTTTAAACTTTGATATAAAATTGAAATTAGTTTATGTTTTAAGTTTTTTTATATTTTAATTTTTAAAATTTAAAGATAAATGAAATAATCTTTTTAATTTAATTAAAAACTATGCATATAATGTATTTTTTATATTTGAGGGGAAGCCCAATGGTTATTGGGAGCATGTTCATGATATTCACTGCCAACTATGAGGTTTAATTTGTCAATGCATTATAATCTTGATGTATGATTTTTTTCAGTATACTTCTTAAAATCAAACATCAACCAAATTAGATTACTAAATAATTTATGCTATATTGTATCATATACATCAGAATGGTTATTTTTAAATGATTATTTATATATAATATAATTATATTATTAATTTTTTTAATACTCTAAAATTAGTAACACTACTAATATCATTTTCTAAAATAATTTTAAATAAAACTGATAATTAAAATATTGGTGATAAAATTAATAAAAAATAAATAATAAATATTTTTTTTGGAATTTGAAAATTTTAAAATTTTAAAATATTATTTATTTCAAATATTTTTTACGGTTTTAAACATTCAATAAGTGTTAAATGACATATATTGTGGCGATTTTTAAATGTTATTATGTTTTTTCCTATTCTAGTAATAATACTAGTGGTTAAAATATTTGTTATAAAATGCTTTGGACATGTGTAATTCTGATAATTATTTTAATTGTTAGAAATTTTGTTAAAGTTTTTATTTGTGATGATTTTTAAGGTGATTTATTTGTAGACCTCTATAGTTCCAATCTTTATTTTTATAAGGTGTTGAAAAACCAAACAGCTCCTCTTCCAGCAGTTTTTCCTTTCTCGTCATTGTCATCTCCTTCTCACAAAAAAAAAAATATTTTTCATGTTACAATTTTTTTTATATGTGTATAAAAATTTGAGAGTATCAAATATATAAAATATATTAAAATTAAAAAAAACTTTTTTATATGTTTGAAAAACAATTGAGGAATTAAGGTTCCTTCAACATAAAAAAGCTCCATAATTTGACGAACTTAAAAGAAAAAAATCTTTCAAATTATATAATCTAAATCTTATTTTTTGTATAAAAAACTTTTTAGATTATATAATCCAAATTATTTTCTCAGATTATGCATTGTAGAAGATACTTACTGATTACACAATTAAAAGTTAAAAAAAAAATATTACATATTATACAATTCAAAAGTTACTTTTTAATTATGTGTTGTTCAATTTGAGAGCTTTTCTCGTTTATGCAAGAAAATGACTCCTGGTAAAAACTTTGTATTTATAAGAGTGCAGAAGAAATAAAAATATGTGGTGCAGGAAGAAATGACTCATCTGTAACCTTTTATAGTGCTGTTGGTTCTTTGGTTTCTTCTTTTGCAACCCTCTAATTTATTGCGGTTCTATAGAATTCTAGGGTTGCTTTTTTCTGCACCTCCATAGTTTTGTCTTGTACCCCTATATATTTGAAAATTCCAATTTTAAGGAATTTTGTTTGTACTTTCTGAATGCACAGTTTAAAGTATAAAATTCGTACTTTAGAATGTTCAGTTTGAAATAAAAAATGTCTATTTTAGAATACAAAATAAAAAATATTTTTTAAATTATACAATTTAATATTTCTAATAAAAATAAGGTGAAAACTTAAAAAAAAGAAAACATGGAGGGACAAGTTGGTCATTTCATAAGTATATAGGATGAAATGTGCTGAGATCCAAGATGAAATTATGTTATTTTAGTTCTTTTAACTTGTTATTGTTGGTTTTGTTTTTATTGATATAAGTCAATTCACTTGAAATTACGGATATAGGTTTCTTTTTTAGAAAATTATGGACAAAAGAAATCATATTAAGTGGATACCACTTAGTTGTAACGAAATTGTCACCATATCCAATAACTTTTAAACAAATATCTTATAATTAAAAAAAAATATGATTCTATATATAAAAATTTTAAAAATATTTAAAAATTTTAAAAATCAATTAATCAAATTATTAAAAAATAGTTTAACAAATATTTGTATACCACAATTTTAGAAAATGTAAAAAAAAAGTTAAAAAAATTGAAATGAGAAAAAGAGAAGTCGTGCTATCTTACATGACTTTTATAAAAATAAAATAAGAAATGATAAGTCAGACGTTTTCCACTTTTGATTCAAAATATATTAAATGGGAAGTTGTATGTTATAAGCATGAGTTTAAATTAAGCACGTGTCTATTGGAGTGGTGTAAGCTTTGCACGACCTTAATTTAGTGTAATTAATTAAAATTGAATGTGATGATGACTTCTTCACAATGAAGTCATACGTACTTGGCATGACTTCTCTTTCTCAGTAACTTTTTTTATTTTTAAAAAACTCTTTTATAATTTTGAAAGCGGATTTACCCGTAGAAAAAAACCAAAAACTTGTTATTACTTTGGTATAAAAATATGGTTGGTAAGATTATATTGATGAAACTTTTCCTAAATCTTGATAAGGAGGAATTGGGAACATGGGAAGTAAATAAGCAAAATAATATTACTTGATCAATAATTTTATAACAACATTCAATTTCAAGTAGAATTAACTTGAAAAAATATAAAAAGAAAATATGTATTTATTTTTTCAGTTTCACAAAAAAATAAAAGAATATTATAGTTTCTCTTTTTTAACTATATTTAAAAGTGTTATTAAAAATACAAGGTGCGTAAAAGTATAAAAAAATAGTTGTAATGTTTATATATAAATATATGCTTTACTGTAAAGGTAAAAAAATTATTCTTTTTATTATAAGTTTAATCACCTTTTTTTCCTGTTAATAACTAGAAAATAGTTAAATATAGTAGTAGTCTTAAAAAGATAACACCTTATTATTTTATTATTAAAAATTAGTGTATAAATGAAATTTTTTATTTAATCCAATTTCATTTTACAAGAATTATTATTTTTCTAAAACTTTTTTTAAACCCATTATTTTATTTCTAGATTTATGACTTTATCTTTTTACGTGTTTGGAGATTGCAGTACACTATAAGATTTCTAACGTTAAGATATACAATTCTACCTGATCAGAATCTCAAACAAAGTAAATTCATCTTTAGCCTTTCTTTTTGGTCTTTTAAGAAATTTGTTGCATGTGGGAGTTTAGGGGATTGCAACATATGTTAAAGGGCTCAAATTGAATCTTTGTTTAATTAGGATTGTAAAGGTGTGTTTTAGAGTTCTTTGTGTGTAGGTAGAGCAACCTGTGAGAAATAGAGCTCTAAGGAGCAACTATGAGATAAAGAGCTGTTTAACCAAGGTAAGAAAAGCTAATATTATTTTTCACTATTTGATTTATCTTCTCTTAATACTATGTGTGAAAATCTATGATTGGATGGTTAAATTGGTATATATTCAATTGTTGAATTGGTATGGTGAAATTAATGAATGATTTGTGTATAAATGATTGAACTGGTAATTTAAGTTCTAAATTAGGGTTAAATCTATGTGGTGGTATTTTTGGCTTCTAAGGAGTCATTTTAAATGTCTTGGCAATGTTCTTCACTTGAATAAAGGATGAGAACACTCCTTAGAACCAAAGATACCATTTGTTGTGTTGATTTGTGAGTTTATGTTATG